GAAAACCATGATTCAGGACTGATTCAGTATAATTCAGACTGATATCCATCCTGATCTAAGGTGATAACAATTGGTTGTGTACAGCAGTTGTGGCAAGGGTCTGCACTTAAGTGCTCTCATTGTAACTAAAGCTAGGTTTACAGTATATGCAGCTTCACGCATGAGTTGTGACATCACTTACAACATTGCACACAACATAAAACCAAAGATGGGTTGGTCTTATCATTGCTCTTATGTAGCATTAAATGTAATGACATCACAGCGTATATTGTAAACCTAGCTTAACAATCCTCTTTATTTGGCTCAGGAGTCCTTACCCCACTTTATGGACTCCTGATTTGTCTGTACATGTAGTTATCATAATCATGGCAATGAATGTATTACGATAGCATTCAACCTCATATTCTTGTCAATACACTGAATAGCCCCAAATTTTTGTCAAAAATGATAAAATATTTTGTAATTTTGTAAAAATTGAAATTTTTAATTTTAATAATTGTAAAAACTGCACAATTTTCCGAAAAATAATGATGAATATTTGATTTTTTCCTAAAATCTTTAGTTAGACCATAAAAAAGTAGAAATGTACTTGTATTACCTCAATAATTATATATATTGTACATGTACATGTACTTGTATGAGGAACAGAGCTTAACAACATTTTAACAACTAGTAATTACACACTTAATGTTATTTACATGTACGTTCTTATTTTTACAGCGAGGAGATACTGCTTTAGTTTTAGCTGCAGAAGAAGGACATGATGATATTGTACAGTTATTAAGTGAAGAAGCTGATCCAAATACTTCAGTTAATGTGAGTCAGTATTATTAACCTTCACATCTATTTTTAGCCGTTTTATTTACTTTTACTACTCCCACTTGTAAATGTATACTGGAATACTATATAGCGGGATTTATTGACAAATGTTTTATTTTGACGAGTTGACAATTTAAAATAAAATGTCAAACTTTGTAACCATCAAAAATTGTACCATGTGTACATAAAGCACAAATTTCTTTTATTCATCAAATTAAAACTTGCCAACATGGGAAATTTATTGTTTTCGTCAAATTTTTTACTTGTCAATAAATCCTGCTATGCAATATTTAGTTTTAGTGTATATACTGTATTATGATGTTTACTGATGGAGTAAGCGAGTGACCTACATGTACATGTACATGGTACTGGACGAACTTAAGTACATGTAGTAATAATAATGTGGAAAATTAAATAATTCTACTTCATGACAGAGCTGGAAATATTGGCAGGAAAGATATGATAAGCAACCACCAAAGTAGAATCTGCCATTTTAGTTCACCCTGACCACATGCAGCCACTAGAATTATTGCCAATATAAATTTTGTCAATTATGAATTTTTAGCAAATTGCCAAATATAACTTCCATCAATATTTCTGACAGTATATGGTATTTAACTTACTATATGACTCATTGTAGAATAAGAAGTTATATGAAGCTGCTAAAAGAGGTGATTCTACTGGTGTCCAGTCTGCACTGTCTCAAGGAGCTAATGTAAACTATCAGAATCCTAAAGAGGTAACTACTGCAGTATATGCATACATGTACATGTACAGCATGCTGTTATGTTGATAGC